AAATGCCCTTTGCATCTTAACCCATTATATCAGCCCGTCGCTCATTGTCTTGGTCGTGCGCGCAAGACCATTACTGGGGCTCCAGTGCCGGCAGCGTAGGCGGCTCGACATACCCGCCGAGCAGCGAGCTACTGCTCGCCCAATCCCGAACAGCTGATGTACTAGGCGAATGTTCGCTCCCTTTGATGTGTCGTAAAGACAGATATTCGGCAAAGCGCGAACATTTTTGGCTTAGCCAAAGGTTAGTGTGCTATATGTTGCAGTGCGCACGCAATTTTGCGTTTTACCTCGGTAAGGGGCTGGAGTGGGTTCGTGTCGGACCTTAGTCAATAGCCAAATCGGCTTTTGTGATTCACTACACCCATAGAATATCAGAAGGAAGTGCTGGTCTTCTTTGCCATATTGTGTCGAGCTAATTGTTTTAGCGTTGCCGGAGCTTCGTCGGTTTGAAAGGCTTGATAGACTTCGTTAAACGATAGCCGTCTCAGGCCGTAGAACTTTGTTCTCTACCAGCTCAAGGGTATCTTTGAACTTCTGTGATGTAGTCCACCACATTGCCGCAGCGAGGTGGCCACAGGCCGGCAACACGTTTTATAGTGTGTCAAGCGAAGTGTAGGTTCCCTCAAAGAGGTTGTAATAGTCGAACTTTGTTGTAATTTTGATCGAATTCGCCTGACATGTAAATGGCAGCGCAACCTTCGATCAAAAGTGACGCCTAAGTAGGTTGCCGTAGGTGCCCATGTTAGTTTTTGTGTATCAAGTGTAATTTGTTTTGGTGATGTAAAACGTTTGGTGTTTGTGTGTTTGCGGCGGGTGTAACAGATGGCCTGCGACTTTTCCGCGGAAAAAGTCAAGTGGTTTAGTTCCGACCACTTGAGGTTCATCTGTCTTTGAAGTGTTTTGAGTTTGCGGTCTAGGTTTATTCCTCTTGCTAAGACGGCCATGACATCAGCATAAAGGAAGAGCCGTATTCGTGGTAAATGCGGGATGTCATTGACATACGAGAACACTAGCGGAGAGAGAGGACGGAGCCCTGAGAGCCGAACGCCGCATTCGTGGAGCCGCTGCCGCCATCAGTTTTAATTACACCGACCGGCACAACTTTTGCGAAGAACACCGGCGCGCGCCAGTTTACTCACTGCGCATGCGCGCCAACTTTACCGCGCCCTAACACTGGTCTATACTACGAGGAATACTTCTATCTACTTGGCAGCTTCCAATTGACAGAGGAGGGGTCATTCCGTGTATGCAACTTTCTTTAGAGCGGCTCATTACCCGCGCACAATTCTCCCAGTGCCCCTACCACAAGCGGGAGTACTTCGGCGCTACGGTAATGAGGTGGGTGCGAGTGGCTTCGTATTTTTGGCGCTTTTCTTCAAACTGCTTTTCAAGTTTGCCCTCTCGTGCGGTATCCTCCGCGAAGTCCACCACGAGTGCCATTCTGCCCCGCGCGAGTACGAGATCAGGGCGATTGCTGCCCACCACTGCCTGATTCTCCCGGAGCACCTGCCACCCCGCTGCAATGGCTGCTGCTTTGTAAATGGCCCCGATGTTGTTATGTCGGGCGTTCCATAAAGGTGACAGGTAGCGGCACTCCGTGGTAACGTGACCGATGTTCTCAGATGCTTGTTGCCCGTGGGTTTTGGTAGAATATTAATGTGATTGTATGTATAATCACTTTACATTCTATTTTTGAAATGCGATTATTCATTTGTTTTGGGTGATGCACTTGTATCACTGATAACACGCGGAAGTGTTTTAGTACTTGTATGCACTCCACGAGATGTTTCTACGGTAGTATGGTACGGTAGTCTACGGCACGTACCATGGCCGCCACTCACAAGTGGCGATATTTAGCTTTTTGACAGTTACGAAAAAACGTAGAATGGATCATTTTTCAATTACGGAATTAAACTTCATGTAAAAAATGAAAAAAAAAAATGTTCTTTACAATTCTAAGGGCCGTGGAAAGCTCGGCCTGTCAAAAAATACGCATACTTTTGCGCAATTAAATCTCGAAAAATATTATATTAATGTAAAGTCAGTGGAATCTAATACAGGGCAAAGTCTCTAAGATGGAGGATATCTCATTAATTTGAAGGCTCACAATTGAGCTACATTATTGTGGGATTATTGAAATAACATTTTAAGTTCATACTATTAGTGTTCTTTTGTTGGTTCGTAATTCTTCCATTCTCGGTTCCGTGCAGTTCGGATCTTCAGATCATCTATTTTCTTCAGTTCGTCTGCCCATCTTGTTCCAGGTCTTCGGGCCTGACATTTGCTGATCCTCGGATCCCAGACCGTTGAAATGTGAGCCCAGCGATCATGTCCCATCCTTACTACAAACCCCGTTCATCTCCACTTCAGTACAAGGGCACAGTGTGCTGCATCTTTGATTTCCGTTTTTCTTCTGATTTCCATGTTTTTTACGTGGTCTTTTAGCGACATTCTTAGTATTTTCCTTTCCTTTTTTAGTGACTTGGAATGCTTTCTTTTGTTGCTAGATTCTTGACCATGTCTTAGCGAAATAAATTAGTACAGGGATTTGAATTTCATTACTATTTTTCATTAATTTTGTTTTGCTTAAGTTCATGTGTAATCCTGCTTCCTCACATTTAACTTGTAGCTCCTTCAATGTTTCGAGTTCTGCTGCTGACTGTGAGAAAAACTCGAAAAATATTGATTCAACTTAAAAGCAAAAATAGCTATCATTAACAAAATTCAATTTGGAATGCACTAATTGTATAAAATTGTACAAAATACAAACAAACAATTGAAACAAAAAATTGAAAAAGTAATAAACTCATGAAAAAATAGCCTAATGTACGTAATGTGTCAAAAATTCCATTTGGACCATCTTGACGTTAACTTTTACTTTTTCGCTCTAACAAAGGTACTTCGTAAAAAGAGAAAGTTTAAAATATTTGAACGGATAATGCTAAATGGACTGAATAACATGACATAAATGACAGATTCATGTATTATTTGTTTTTCCAAAAATTACACAAATTAAATTTTTTGAAGTATTTCTCACGCTTCCAACTTTTACATTCCCAGCGATTTGCGTACATTTTTGTATTTGTTAGTACAATTACTTCAAATAATTTCTAATCTAATGAAGTTTCTCGAAAACTCAAAAGTTTTGAGTGAAAATGGGCTTCAAAATATGCCCAAACGACATTTCCTCAACTTAAAAGGCACAACATGGCTTCAAATGTTTTAAAGAAAGTTACTATATAGGACGGGCTTTTATCCATTGTTCGCAACCTAATCGCCAGGACGCTTTATCGTACCACATTGTTACATTTTCCCTTCCTTGCTAGTGTCGCATAAAAATTAATAAAATCTCTATTGAACATTCTGGTTCACTCTCATTGCAGTGAGAGAGAAATATATATACCCCATTATGAGGAAGATAGTTCTGACACACATGATCACCAGCTTCCCCGTACCCTTAAGCAAGGTGCATGGCAAGTGCGTGATGTGATGAATAAAACCCTACGCTGGTCGAAACAGAACTTGCAAAACGAGATTATCCACTTGAACCTATTGAATTACCACATCACAGTACATTCATTTTTAGAAAAAAACACTATGCAGCATTTTGCTAGTAATGAAATAAAAATGGAATTTAATTTATTTTGATTACAGCAACGTTTGGTGGAGGCAGAATTGATTTTCCCGTTCTGTAAGATACTATTTACTTTTTCTTTCATGAAACGTGTGGGAGTGATAAATAGCATTTTTAGTTTTTTTTGTTTGCATGAACTTGTTTTCTTTCTCTCTAAAGATTTTGTGTTTCACGGTTGTGGTAAAGAATATCCTGTTCCACAAATATTTTGTATATGCGGTAGGGGAGAGGGAACATGGTTGGTCGCTAGCAGCTGGGGAATACTATGTAACCACTGATCGCCCCTGCTAACAAAGACTTACGAACTGACAAACTGCGGAAATGACTGCCTCAGCTTAAGACGCCGTCGACAATTCCGTCGCCTTTCTCCGCCACCTTGCTCACCTCCTCTCTCTCACCCCCC